ACACACACACACACACACACACACACACACACACACACACACACACACACACACACACACACACACAGTGGTCTTGGGCTAATATCCTGACCTATCTCAGCCTCATTCTCCTTATCTGTACAATGGGGGATAAGAATATCCACTGGGCCAGGCTGTTGTGAGGACTGATGCTGAAGACACGGAAGGCACTCAATAAACGGCAGGAAGCTAATATAATAATAAATTGGGGTTCAGCGCTTGAATCTTTTCAAACATTTCCTCTCGTTAAGAACATGATTTCTTGATTGCCTTTGGCAACTTATTAGATGTGGTCAATTAAGAGGCTCACTAACGATGAGACAACATTTGTGGAAGATTTTTCTGCAAACAATTATGTCAGCTAACTCAATGTAATAATTTAATTTTCCCGATATGCTCCAATTGATGCCTCAGCTGAGTAAATACTTGCAAAGGAAGATCCCAGTGCTGCTGTGCCAGTGGGCCTCTTGGACCTGTGAACCTAGGCCAGGTAAGCCTACAGCTTGGCATGACATCCTTTAATGCCATAACATTTGCCCATCTTCCCATTTTTTAATGTGTGTGTGTGTGTGTGTGTGTGTGTGTGTGTGTGTGTGTGTGTGTGTGTGCGGTGATTTAAAAATAAAATATTGATGTATATAATAATAAATTGGGGTTCAGCGCTTGAATCTTTTCAAACATTTCCTCTCGTTAAGAACATGATTTCTTGATTGCCTTTGGCAACTTATTAGATGTGGTCAATTAAGAGGCTCACTAACGATGAGACAACATTTGTGGAAGATTTTTCTGCAAACAATTATGTCAGCTAACTCAATGTAATAATTTAATTTTCCCGATATGCTCCAATTGATGCCTCAGCTGAGTAAATACTTGCAAAGGAAGATCCCAGTGCTGCTGTGCCAGTGGGCCTCTTGGACCTGTGAACCTAGGCCAGGTAAGCCTACAGCTTGGCATGACATCCTTTAATGCCATAACATTTGCCCATCTTCCCATTTTTTAATGTGTGTGTGTGTGTGTGTGTGTGTGTGTGTGTGTGTGTGTGTGTGTGTGTGCGCTGAGCTTTAAACATCAAAGATTTCTGCACACTGGCATACAGACTCTGATAGAGATCACCTCAGCTCTAAAACACAATCTTCCCTGTGCATCTCAGGAATCAGACCCTTTACCATAGGATCAGGAAGGCGTGAGCCTAGGGAAAGTGCTTATTTCTAAACTAGAGTCAACATTTGAGCTCCTACTGTGTGCCAGACACAGGATAGATGTTTTTGGATACTTCATATCAATTCATTATACAGTAGGAATAATTGCCACGTTCTAAGTAAGGAAATCAGGGCTTAGAGATGTCAAGCAGACCCACCCAAAGCTTAACATCTGGCTAATGGTGGAGCTGGGGTTTGCAGCCCATGGTGTTTCTGTATACATGGCTGCTCCCAAGTGTCCTGGAGCCTGGTCTGTAGCAGCAGAGTGCTCATCCATTCTAAGGGTCATCTCACTTTAAGCTACAACAGCCCTGGGAGGCAGATCCTATTTTTTCAGTCTTACAAATGAGAAATCTTAGGTCTGGAGACATGAAGTGATTTTCCCAAAGACATTCACCCAACAAATTTACAATCAGCCTTCAATCAGAGACCATCAGATGTTGTTTCTCTCTTGAGTCAGAACCTATTTGGTGGCCAGACACTGGAGATCCGGGAACCTTGACAAATACTCTCCCTTAATATGAAGCAAGCAATTTAAAGGAGGTTGAGTATGAACTGCAGGCTGTGCAGTAAGGAAACTGCCACTATTCTCACAGTGCTGCCAGACCACACCTGTGCCACGTGGTGCCCGCACCTGCCCGTGGCGCCAGACCCCACCTGCTGTGCAGCACCGGGGTTTCCTGCTCATTTATATGCTGAGGCCCAGGGAGAGAGTGGAAGAAAGTGTCCCAACTACTGTTTTGAACTTACGGGTGCACAGTTAGCAATGATATAGTCCAGGGCAAATGCTCACATCACAAATTTCACGGCCTATTTACTTAAAAATCTCCAAAAGAAAACAGAAAGAGGTGCAAAACATGGTTCTAGTGGAGCAGTGGTTCTCAGGCCATACTGTCTGTGCACATATCACTCCCAGAGTTTGATTCAGTCAGCCAGGGCCCGAGAACCTGCATTTGTAACAAGCTTCAGGGCCTGCATCTGCTGCCAGCCTGGGGACCGTGACTGAAGGCCACTAGACTACGGCTCCAAGTAAGAAGACACTGCTGTCTCCATACTCATCCTAAGGGTCTGTATGCCCTCAGCTCTCGACTGCGTTCCTAGTTATGACATTTCCTGGGGACGTGAGTAGCATGGCTGCTACGAACAAAGGTAAATTATAATAAAGCAACGTGATATCAGGTAACTATTTTTACTCTAATAAAGAAATGTGCTTCATGAGAAGAGGAGATGAGTAAAGCACAGATTGACTTTGGGTATGTTTCCCAAATACCCTTGCAAGCAAACATACTGATTCCATATTCAGAGCATATTAACACTAATTCAGCTTCTCTGGAAATGGAAGTAGTTATTGAGTGAGAATGGGAAGGGTTAGGCTCCTAAAAACAAGACGGTGGCTGAAGAGACCATCTTTACTTACGTAAATGTTACTTGCTAAAACCTAAAAATAAGACCAAGATCACTTTTTATTCTCTATACTTGAAATGTTTCTATCATTTAATTTAGTAACAGATCCAAAAAAATTTGAAAAGGTGAATGTTTTTAGCTATTGCTCCTCTACGTATAAACATCTAATTTTAATTGCTACCACATGTGGATATGTTTAAAGATAGTAGAGGCAGAAATGCTCAGTTAGGTTCCTGTATTTATCATTCTCGAAGGCTCAGCAAAGCCACCTTCCCCTGTAAACGCTTTCATCTGGCCAAGCGTTAACTGCCTCCTGAGACTGTGTCCACCTTTTGCAAGCAGGTGGCACACCCTGACCAGTTAAGCTGTATTATATTTCAGGGAATTCAAGTCATTAACAGTGGAACGGTTTCATTAAGAGAATTTAAGGATTCATGGTTTCCTTACAGGGGCAAAAACAGTTGCTGCCGTAAAAATACAACATAAGAAGTTCTTGCTGATTCAGTTAAATAAGCAGAATGAATTTAAAAGGTGAGGCTCTGACCATGAACAGCTGTTCAATACAAACCTTAAATGCCAGTGTAAATAGAGAGAGGGTGTCCAGAGCTGTCAGGCACACCTCAGTAGCAATATTGGCTTCAAGTAACGACTGGTGGAGAACATCTGCGTCCGAGTGGCCATAGCCTGCATGAATCATAATACAAGGTTACTGCCGGCGGCTGAAGAAGAAAGGCTGGCGGACGGTATAGTCACAGTCAACTTTTGATTATTTCCAGAAGGCTTCCTTCAGGGCCTTATCTCCCTGTTTGCCTTTTTTTGTTTGGTGGTGGGGGTGGGTGGGTAAAAGGAGGTATTAAAAATGTTTCCATTCAATTATGACTTTTTCAGCTCTGGGAGGGAAGTAATAGCCGCAAACATTTATTGTGCACTTGCTATGTGCCAGCCATAATTCTATGAACTTTACATGTATCACCTTATTTAATCCCTCAATAGCCCTATGAAGTGTGTACATTATTAAACCCTTTTTGCAGATAAGGAAATGGAGGCCCAGAAAGGCTAAACAACTTGTCTTAAGTCACACAGTTGGTAAACAGGGGAGCTAGGACTGGTACATGGACCAGAGTCACTCAATTGCGCCACCTGAGTGAGCTGTTAAGATGGTGTGGTAGTGAAGGAGGCTGAGATGTCTGAAGCTTCCCACACAGACAGAGGCTGCAGCACAGCACAGGGAAAGAAAATGAGCTGAGGGGCAGACTGCTGGTCAGTGAATCAAGCTCGTCCCCTTACTAGCTGTGTGACCCTGGGCAAGTTACTTGACCTCTTTACACCTCAGTTTCCTCATCTGTAGAATGGGGATAATAACAGTATCTACCTCAAAGGGTTGTGGTGAGCATTAAATTCATTAATTGCTGTGAAGCTCTTGGAATAGTGCCTGGCACACAGTGAACGCTATGTAAGTCTCAAGTCAATAAAGTAAGGATCTGTTTTATCAGTTGGAATCATGAATGATAACCAAGAGTTGACTGCACTGCTAAGAGTATTCTACTTGCTTTAATAAAAAAGCACAAAAGCCACTATGACTGAAAGAAATGTTTAAGAAAAGGAGAGGACTTGAGAATCATAATTTAAATACAAACTGATATCTTCTGTATGTGGCTGTAAAATCAATTTAGTATTGATATAAATGCAGTTTGACATACAATTTGAGATTAAATTATGAAATGGTATGCATTAGCAGAAATATATATAAGGGATGCAAAGGTGTTTCAGTATTGATCTAGATTACAAAGGAAGATGGCAATATAATAAAACGTCAGGTAATGTCTTTCTCCAAGGAGCAAAACAAATCAACACTTACTATGTAGGTAATTTTCTTAATACTCCAGAGAGGAGGACATTTTGTACACAGATCAGGGAAATGAAGTACAGAAAGCCTAGAGAATTTTCTTGAGGCCAGTAATGGGATAAAACCAGAAACTACACTCCCAATTCCTTATCCAGGTCACTGTACCATAATCTCTATTATTAAGGTAAAATAAAGTTAACTAGCGTGATGTTATTCTGACTTTAACAAATGTCAGAGATAGAGAATGATTTTTGAAAGACTACAGAAAGCTTTTCTAAAGCTACCGAGTTGCTTTTTAAAGTATGATTAAAAAAAAAAAAAACTATTATGTGCTTGCATCCAACTTTGCTTTGCTTTTATAATGGTGGTTTTGAGTGGCCTGCATTATTTTCACAGTGTGACAGAGTCATCGTGTCCCTAGTAAGGCTATGGAATACATTTGGCACCGTGCTAGTTCTGTTTCTTTATATTCCTGATTTGCTTTTAGGTTTTTTTTGGTAAGAAATCTAGCAGAAAGAAAGACAGACATGTTTTGGTACTAATATTCACTGAACTGCCTTTGTAAGCCAAGGTATTTCCTCATTTGGTAAGGTTTGTTTGGTGAGATAGCCAACAAAAGAGGAAAACAAACTAATGATTATTGTTACAGTGATCACAAACCAGGGCAAGAGAGGACCAAAAAAAAAAAAAAAGAAAAAAAGAAACAAAAAACAAAAACAAAACAAACAAAAATACCACCACCTTTTATCAGACCAACCAAAATTATCACGCAGGTCAAAAGGACCCTATACTGAGGGCTGCCATTTATCCCAAATGAAGTTTTATAATCTGGGTTAAACTGTAACAAGGCACTTGCTTTGGTGATTAACTGTATTCTCTGCACAGAACTATCCTTTTCTCTTTCTAGATAACCTATTGGATAAGTGTATCCAAGTGTGATTATTATAGATGAGATGGTCTACACACTGAAGAACTCCAACAGAGTTTACTTACATCTGGCTGAATGTCTAGAACAATTCAAGAATTGCAATTTGTCAATGTGCTATTTTTTAAACATATATAATCAATGGGCCATGCTAATTAACGACAAAATTTCTCTAAGCTACATTACACTATCTAATCTCCTTTAGAACAAGAGTCAATTCATACAGAAATCTGCCTGCCTGTGTCCAAATCATATAAGAATAAAAGAAACAGTCCTTTTAGCCACAATTGGTTATAATTTGCTTTCCCTTAAACCGTTTCGTCTCAAAAACCAGCAGGTTCCTGAACCAGTGTTACTTAAACAACCCTAAAAATAAGTGGCAGCATGGGACGTTGTGTGAGTGACAGAGACTGACTGGACAATCTGCCGAAAGATACCCCCGTGGGGACAGTCTGTGTCAAGACCTGGAACAAAGCTGTGCATGAGGGAAGACTCTAATCAATGGTCACCTTGTTACTGGCTAACACAGGAAAATGAAACTGAGCTGGCATCCCAAGAAGGGGTCTTAAGAGACACAGTAATTTCTCAGAGCATCGGTCAGCAACTTTTTAAAGCTGACAAAGCAGATTCTGACCAAGGCCAGTAAGAAGTACTATTAACCCTACTGACTTCCACTAGGGGGTAGTGGTGCCTTGGGGCACAGGCACTGACGTGGTCACTGAGGCGGGTCAGGGAGGGAAGGACTTCCCTGATGCGCCATCTCCAGCGGGCACCTCAGGGGGTGCTTTAGAGACCTTAGGATCCACTGCTCACATGTACACGATTTTCATTCTGCTGTCACTCAGATAAGTGATTTATTCTCAAATCCCCAAATCTTTTAAATACTCAAAGGATGAGGATGAGATTTTTTTCCCTCTAATGTCATCTGCTATGGTTAGACTTACCTAACTTTACTCCGTTTTATGAAGTTCTGTTTCCTGAAAAGCTCGGTTTAGTAATGCTGAGGACACCTGTAAACTACCCCTCCCTCCCCAGTGCCACATCAGAGGTGATGTGGTCAGAAAGGCAGAAGCCTGATCCACTGCCACTCGCCTTTTCCAAAAGTCAGAGGACATTTGGGCTAGAAGAATAAGTCAGATACATATTCTCACAGGAGGCACTTCCTTCTTGAAAGCTGCCTTCACTCTATGAAACCAGAATTCTTGTTTTTATTTTTAATTTTTTTCTCTGGCCCATAATATGAATCCAGAAAAATAATACATTTTATGAAAAAAATATAAATATTGAACAGCTACGAATCTTCTTGCTAAAAGACATCCCCAAATGTAGAAGACCTAGCCTGCTAGATATATTAACTCATGGTCTACAGCTTTTACTAACTGCACATATTTATGCAAAGTATCAGATGGATCCACCACTACACAATCTACTATTGATCTCCATCTCATTTTTATTGCTAAAAAGTTTTTCCCCACAGATGGGCAAGAAGTGGAGAACAGAATAAGGAATGACATTCCAAGGCAAAACATCATGTGATTTGCTGTCTGCCCTCTGATTAACCACCAAAGAAACAAATAGGTTCAAAATGATTTGTGAAACTAGTCTATAATCTCAGAGTTTATACTCGAGGAAATGGTTATACTACCTGCTTTCTAGTCTCAGATTACCTTGCGTCAGTGATTGTCACTTAGACAATCAGATACTTAGCTGTATCTGAAAGTGGTATGGGATATAGACCCCAAACCGTGACAACACTTGTTTTAAGCATATCACACCTTTTAATTTAAAGTCCTCTTTAAGGATACTAAAAATATAAAAAATGACCGACTTTAAATGGGCATTGTGTCAGGTTTTCTCAACTCTGAAACCCTGTCAATTGCAAGAAGCACCAATCAATGACGGGCTACCATGTGAGATGTAATATTCAGGATATATCTGTAAGATAAGATCTGCTAAATCTGTAAAATATATCCTGATTTCAGAAATGCTAGCAAAGGGGCAAAAATCTATCTCCAAATCAAGGAAATGTGGCTTTATAGACATTTTATTTACTATCTTGAGTATAGACATTTAAAGCATCCAAGCCCATTTCACCTATTTTAAAAGATATATCACCCATGCTTAAGAACTTTTGAGAAATATTGATTTTATTTCGGAGACTATATGCCTCCCCTGCATTTTTTATACTGATTCAATATTATCTAAAATAAAGGAATTTAATTATCATCTATATTCAGTTTCTTACTCGAGATTCATAGATATCAAAGAATATCAGAATTAGATGGGGTCTGAACAAGCCATCTTGTCTAACTCCTCATATGATGCTTAAATGACCTGGACAGTATCCCCAATGGGTCCTCATCAAGTCTCTGTTTTCACATCTCCAGCTCCCAGTACCTGTACTAGCTAATAGGTAGTCCAGTTAGAAAATGCTTCCCCATATTCACCTGAGATCTAATTCTCTGCAACTTAATCCAGTGATCTTAAATTGTCTCTTATACTGAATTATATGAAATACAGGTTTTCTTCAAGGGTTTCTACCTCTCGGCTGGCTTCTCTCCCATCACACCAATGGGAAATATGGATTATCATGCAAGTGAATTTAACATACTCCTAGAACAATACATAACATTAAAGTAAATACAAACTGTTATTTTATATCTTTTGCAAATGAATCACTTATTTGCAAACACGTTTCACTTAGTTTTCCCCTCATCACTCAGTTTATATAAAATATACAAAGTATACTCTGAGCACCTATCACTCTCAATTTGTCCTTTGGCACAAGTCTTTTCTACTGATACACAATGAGTACATGTTGCAGTAAACAGGTCAATGCCTTAATGTTGTAAACATTTACTTTTTATAAGCCTGGGCAATGACCCAAACAACAAACTCCTACCCTTTGAGTGTTTTTAAAATAGTTAAGACCACTGGCCACAGTGAAATTTTCATTATTTCCTATAAAAATCCAAGAGTAAGGGTAAGTGCCCGCTAGCGTTACACGTGTGCTGCGTGTGGTGTCTTTTCCCGTGTCCTACTGTTAACAGGCGATGGAGACAGTGCGGCTTGGCCTGCATTGGCTTAAGTTCCTCGCAGTCCTCTGCTGCCCCCTGCTGGTCACGCTAAGATCTGACAAAGCCTTTCCTACTCAGAGAAAGGAAATGAAAAATGCAGGTGTATAGGCGACTCTTCCTATTTTCATTCTTTTCCAAAATAAATTCATTTTAGACTCTGGCATCCCAGCAAGTCTCTCACATATTGGATCTCTGTCATATTGGTTGGCCCAACAGAAGGTTCTGTATTCGTTAAATAGGAATTTTCTTAAAGAGACATACGTGGCTACAAATTTCCCATACAATATCTAGGTGAAGATGTAAAAACTCATGTATGTATGAGTTCACACACATACACACGTATACATACAGTATACACTCCCTTCTCTGTGGCTTTTGGCCGAGTTGACGATTTGGAACTCAAAAAGCTAATGGTGGTAGAGGCTGAAGCCTCCCAAATACAGAATCACAATTAGAGATGTAAGTGAAGACTGAGTTCAGGGTGGAGATGCAAGGACTATGGGACATCAGAAGCTATTCGGGGAGAGCAGGAATTGTGGGCACACATTAAAAAGCTAAAATAATCAGCTACACAGTCTTGACTGGGAAGGCAAAAGGAGAAACTTTGATCGAGAATGGTGTCACTGAAAACTGACTAAAGAAAAACTTCGGGTTGCAAGAGGAGAGGGGCAGGAAGGACAAGGTTCTCTGTGGGTAGCAGGAAGAGAGAATGGAAATCAACCATGTTAACAATAGGGTTTTTGGCAGCAGAACACAGCCAGCTGTCTCTCTCCTCCAATTCAAACCACCACCGTGAAATCCACTTGCAGAGGGAGGGGTTGCTGCATATCTTGGTGGATTAAGGTTATTTATTCGTGTGTTGATCATTCAGTTTACTTTTGTTTGTTTTCTATGTTTCCTACATGATTATCTTTGGAGGCGGGGTCTTGGTCTGCTTATGATTTTTCTTTTTACAGTGCTTTAAAGTTTCAGCATTTATTTCAACTGATAGTGAGGTACTGATAGTCCCTGTGTTAAAAATTATCTGGGCAAAGGCAACGTAGCAAGTCTTGCAAAAAGTGAGAATTTGATTTCTCTTTGCTAAATAGGAAATGAAAACTAAAAATAATGAAACTCTTTGTTTTGCTTGTTTAAACCCTTTGTCTGCAGAGCTAAAACAGCCCTAACAGACAAGATGTTGAAAAATCAAGTTCTGTAGCCTTAGACGTGTCACTAACGCACATTCCACAGCTAAGTATAGAACCCAGAACTAGCATTTGAAGCCTACCAATTCAGTGTGTGGCAGACTGACATAATATTGATTTAAATTAAGCCTTGAATTTTATAAAGAGAGACTGTACCCACTACATTTAACTTTCTTGGGGGTGGAAGAGTGGGAAGGTGCCATATTTTGATTCTTCAGCATTTTTACTTTGAACTATTCTCAATTTAAGGTGTCAGGAATATATCGTCTATACTCTTTCTTAGCCTGTACTAAGAAAGAGGTATGGAAATCACAGTGAATGGAATGAATTCTTATGATTAGAAATGATGAGAAGATATTACTAACCATGAATTAAAGACATTGCTTGCAATGAGTACAAATAATTTTCTAGATAGAACAATAACTAGCTAAGTCATGCTTGGAGCAAAGAAGGGACAATTTAGAGAACACACCACTGACAGAAATGATGACATTAGTTTATAAAGTGCTGCATGGTTGATATCTTTTAGGTTTTCTGCTTCAAGAAACCCTTAAGAAGACTAAACACTTAGATTTCTAGAAACAGCACATGATGCTACGTCCCCTCTGGCAATAGATAAAATTAAATTAAAGATATGCTCCCATGTTTTGGCAAAGTCTCTACTGTGAAGTTAGGAAGCCCCAAAGTTAGGAAGGCGAGATGAACAAGAAGTCTTGGTTTGCAAGTGAAGCGGCCTCGTAAGCAGACTTCAACCTGATTAAATCTTACCATTGTCTACAGAAATTCCAAGCACACTTGATATCTTTCTCACACTGAAAACACAGAAAAAGTCACTTTGTTATTGGCTTTTCCACACCCTCACACATTGATTCATGGGCTTTACGGTTTCACAGCAGTTTAACGATTAACATACATTCAGGGCTAGAATGTCAGAATGTGGACGCTTGATCAATTACACGCATGGGGTCAGGAGGGTGAAAGGAACTTGCCCCAGATGTTCTTGGGAGTCACACGGGGAAAACTGATGATAAGTTGGCTACTGGCAACAAATCAAAACACTAAATTAAAAATATCAGAGAATGTCTGGCTATCAGGCCAGATTTTGTTTTATAAACACCAAGCAGATGGCGTGGGGCAAAGGGTCTAGGCTTTCAGGTCTGGTGCTGTAGTTGACCGCGTCCCACATTATGTCATTCTCCTCCGAGGAAGGGAACTGCGCCACGAGCTCTTCATCCTACTGCTCTGAGCTGGAAGAAAAGTCGATTTGGTGATGTGGTGCGGTGTGGCCAGGGGCTCTCCCCTCTGAACTGTCACATGGGATGGCTGGCTGTTACGATGGTGTGTCATGGGACTTACTGTGGTTAAAAGTGAGAGAGTTATCCAGGCTGCCCAGCTGCTGCAATCTGGCATGCATCATTCCTGTTCTGTTACGGGAAACAGGCAATGTCTGAGATTTTCGATCATGAACTATGGGTCCCAACCCCTCCTGGTTCCTGCAACATGAGTGAAATGGGATAGAAGCAAAAGTTAGATTTGTTACACTGCAGCGAGATGGGGAGCATTAGTTAGGTGAGGCCAGGACACAGCACGAAGGAGACTGGCCACGCACAGACTAAGCACAGAGGAGCCTGTTTGGGGCCACACGAGCCAAAGACACACACAGGCAGCAGCACTTGGCAGAGTTCACAGCAAAGCATCTTTAGACGAAGGAGCAAAAACCAGGCCAAAGCAGAGAGCTTTTCAGTTTTGGAAAGTCATTTAGAGATGCTACTTTTTAAAAAGGTGAGCATCAGTCCAATGTGGTGCTAATGACCAGCATTTGGACAACAGCCAAAACACCACGAATCTTTTTGGATTATATATGTTATTAAACAGCAAAAAGAAAAATTTTTTTTAGTTAAAATAATACATTGGAAGAAACAGAGAACAAACATGCAATGGGAAGGATTATATGAGGCGGTTTAACACCTTTATTCTTACCCAGGAAAGGAGAAGAGCCACAACCTTTGTTAGACTTGTCAGCAGTCAAGTGAAGAAAACAGAAAAGTGATCTGGATTAGCAATCAAACAGCTAACTTCCTACTGTGTACCGTCACCAGAGCAGATGAAAAATGAGACCAGCGCTGGAATGGCACCTGTCCCCCGTCCCGTAGCCAACCGTCTCCCTCACTGTGTTATTGTGTGGAGTAGAACAGGACATGCATGGAATATCATCGGGCAACATGCTGCTGGGTGATTTCAAACTGACACAATGAGAAGGCGCAGTGTTCATAGAACCGGACCACCACGGAGGGCAAACACTGACAACGTTTAAATCATGACTCAGGATCTCTTCCATGTGCAGCAGAGACCATGGCAATTTTCTATAAAACAGGGCACGTCTTTCCACTGTGCACATTATGAAGTTACACCATCCTCCACCCCGCCTATCTGTGCCCATTTATTTTTAAGACAGTCCAAGGAAGCATACTTTTACATGCAAATATATACAGGGTGCTTAAGAAGTCAGAAGATTTTTCTTAAAAAAAATTAAATTTAGAGACATTGGAAAAATAAGTTAACTGCTTCACAAAATCCAATTCCAAAATAGTTTGTTGGGGCAGAAATCTTCAGCTTTTCACATTCACCATGTTCAGCTCTGAGGCATTTTATTCTATTTGCACAACATTTTCCAAATGCCATCTTGTGAGGCGGGTGACACCATGAGAGGGTGTGAAGCTCCCCCAGCACAGTGTCTTTCTGTTGCAAATATGCTGTTTGCCCATCTCCATGGGACAAAGTCAAAAAGAATGAAGTTATTGTATAAGGACACATTGCATATATTTGCATTTAGTACCCAAAAAACGCAAATGCAAAAATTACTGTTATGATAAAAAATAAGAGTTAAGATTAGAGAACGTTAAGTGCCACCACATTTCAATTAAAAATAGAAAGTATTAACAGGAAGAAGGCATAATATAGTCTCTCTAAATTTGCTTTTTAAAATAAAACATCCTTTTATTTGACATAAACAGAATTCTGAAACTTTCTCAAATGTCTCAAGAAAAAAACAATGTTACCATAAAGAGCGAAATCTTGACACTCAAATAGAAAGTCTATTAAAAATCTATTTCCTATTTCACTGTTGTAAAGCAGAATTACAGATAAGAGAAAAACCTCAATGACAACTAAATTTTAAAGTTTTTCTTAAAACATAAATATGTTTACTTATAATTAAATTTTAGCAACAATAACAACAGAAAAATAGGATGCTTAGACCAAGACCCCATGAATACATTATCACAGGATACACAACGGAAGAAAACAAATACAGACACACTGAATGGCAACAGGGAAGGAGTAAGAACTCGCTAAGGACAAGAGGCAGTCCGAGGAAAGCCTCCAGAGAAGGAGCTGCGTGGCTGCCCATCAGCAGTGAGTGTCCAGCTCTCCTCAAACTCAGCGGGAACCGAGAGGATGGCTGGGACAGGGCAGTGAGGGTCTATGATACTCAACAGAGAGTTCTGGTCAGATAGCAACAGAGGGCACAGACAGCTTATTCAGAAAAAGAGGAGAAAAGGCTCAGTTTTAGAGATGGTTTTTGTGGCAGTCCAAACAAATTTGAGATGGGCTGGAAACATCCTTTCATTAAGGAGGAAAGTGGTTAGATGAGAAATTACTCTCTTTGTAGTCGGGAGGTGGAATGGCAAAAAAGGACCTTTGAAAGCGAAAAAGGGAAAGAGAGATCATTGAGGAAGGAAAAAAAGAAAGAGAGGGAAGACACAGCCAGAGGAACTGGGAGAAGAGAAAGAGGAGACAGAAGGAACAGAGCACGAGGGAGGATTTGGAAGGAAGTGGAGAAGTGCAGCGACAGGCCACGGAGGAAAATCTTTCCAGGAGGTATGCCTGAGACAGAACAAGACAGAAGGAACGTAGGAACACTGGCGAAAGATGCCACCAGATTTCATGGCAGCAATCCAAGGGAAAGAGAGATCATTGAGGAAGGAAAAAAAGAAAGAGAGGGAAGACACAGCCAGAGGAACTGGGAGAAGAGAAAGAGGAGACAGAAGGAACAGAGCACGAGGGAGGATTTGGAAGGAAGTGGAGAAGTGCAGCGACAGGCCACGGAGGAAAATCTTTCCAGGAGGTATGCCTGAGACAGAACAAGACAGAAGGAACGTAGGAACACTGGCGAAAGATGCCACCAGATTTCATGGCAGCAATCCAAAGACCTGCCACTGTCTTCATGGCGGTTTATGAGAATTACAACCGCCAATCCCCACAGACAACAGTTCCCACTTCCGGATGCAAGCAACACAGAGAATGACACAACACTTCAAACTAAAACTCCCACAGTACCTGGCGATATATCGCTTCCCCATGTACTGGAACTGGTGCAAGCAGACTCTGCGGAGAGAATGAAAGATTATTAGGGAGCGATAAAGTCACTGGAGATAAAATTATTTTTGACACATGGCTTTGTTTAAACCCATTTACAGTAACATGTTCAATAAGCTCTTACATCTACCACTAGCCCCTCACTTCTGGTTTTCAGAAATTCTCTGGAAGGTCCCTCTAAACCCAGAGAAAATGATCAAACGCAAGGGAGGCCGCATATTGTGCTGCTATCAGTGCCATGGTGGCTGGTTTGAGCAACACAGAAGAAAGGCCCAGGACTGACAGGATTGACTGTTGACTTTGGGTGTGGATATTTACTCCACATCTGCCTTAGAAGGCATGGTGGAAACCATATGCACTGTTCCAAGTTGCTTATTCATTCTCTTTCAGCCTATATAAGGAGCTTTCTTTTTTGATTCAAGTAAATGGACTGGTTCCTTACAGACATCAAGTATGTATTTTTTTGTTTTATTTTACTGTATTTTATTTACAACATTGATTTTTTTTTAAAAAAAATCATATATTTAATAAGAGTCAGTTAAAACAATCTCTAGTAAGTTCTTCTGAACTTACTAGAATCTTGTCTCACATGTGACAACTCCCACCTTTAACTCAGCAGAGGAAGTGACCATGAATTTGGGAACCAAGACTGTAATTCCAAAATGCACAAAGCTCTGAACACCATGGGTTTGCCCCGAATTCGTGCAAACACATTTGGCAGCAAATCATGACCCCAACTAACAGAGGTAAAGCTACCTGGTCATGATTTAACCTACTACTGTGAATAATCATAGTACACAGAAATAACTTCTTACTGCAGAAACAATCATGTGCTTGACTGTGGGGTGCTGCGGAATATACTCTCTATGTAAATTTTTCAAAAATCCAAAAAATTCTGGATTTGAAAACTCATCTGGCCCCACTAGTTTTGGATAAGGGATTGTAGATTCGTGTTTCTAGAAGTAAAAAGCTTAAAGGAAAACAGAAACTTAAACTAAAGTAATAAAATAATATAGACTGTATTTAAGATTTCACTTTTACATATTTTAAAATTGTAGCAATTTTTATGTCTCAGTTTCTGAGCATTATCCACCGAATTCAGCTAATAAATGTTGTGTTATTTTATTAAAACGGCTTATATGCACAAGTAGTAACCTCTCATCTACAATAATCACATATCTAATCATTTCAGGCTGTCACTGTCCACTGGGTCACGAGCCCCTGAGAGTGGGTGTTGGGGTTAGGTCCGGGAGAAAGCGCTTAAGGATAAGTGTGGATGTGAATATATATTGCATTCCTGATTCAACTGTCGGTGCACTGTATTCTTCACACCTTTTAACTAGCCAGGAAAAATCAAGAGTCAATGAGCAAAGACGAAACTACTCACTCCAATATTGTAAAAAAATCCATAAGTTCAGATGTTGAGGCCTTGTTCCAATATGTAAACAAAGCATCTGGAAAGTAAACATTTATTTGATTAGAATTATAATGCGTATTTCGTACATTATAAGATGGGAAGAGACCTCAGAGTGTAGGCCTCCAAACTTTCCTCGGCCCCCTTTTATAGTTGATCAAAGGATAAACCACAGTGACTAAACTATTATAATGGGTAACATGCACAACAGGCTTAGTCAGTATAAAGCAGCTACATTTGAACTTTAATTTCAGCATGCATCATCTAGCCCTACATGGTACCTATTTAACTTATACATAATGTGCTCTTAAATGGACTAGAAAATTACCCACTACAGAATCCCTCCCCAGTAGGGAATCTGTTGAAAATTCTTACGTGTACGTAAGTAACCCCTTCCCAACACACACACACACGCACAGACACACACAGCAGTGGAAGCATGTATCCTACAGGCACCGTTTTGCCCTCTGAGTTTTAATTCAGCAACAAAGCCTGGACCTATCTCAGTCCTTTTCAAGCTGCATAACAGTCCTCTCCATGGAGGTACTACAACTGAGTTAACCAGTCCCCTACTGACAGACATCCACCTTGTTCTTCCCCCCAGTTCTTTGCTATTGTAAGTCATGCTTCGGTAAAAATCCTTTTTACATGCGTCCTTGCACACTCGTCCAGCTACATCTAAAGGAGAAATTCTTAGAAGTGAACTAGCCATGTTAATAGTGTGTACGTTTAAAATTTGACATATATTGTCAAATAGCCTTCCAAATAACAGTGTATGAGAGTTCCTATTTCCTAGCACGATGGTACAATGTACCAGTGGTTAAGAACCACACCTGCTCTTTATCAAGAGCAGCTGGGCACATCTTTAGTTAAGGCAAATCCTACAAATTCACTTACAGGAAGCATTCTCTGTGTATGACTCTTAACCATTCGACATTGCACAAAGAGTATTAGCGTGTGACAGTTAAACATTTTTGCCTTCTCACATTTTACATTGAAGTTGAGAAATGCGTTAAAAGATTTCTCTCAGGGAAAAAGCCACTGAGTCTTCGGGGCCTGAGATGAGCAAGAGGCTGGCTGCAGAGATGCTGGAGGCTCATGAAGATGTATGGCAATGGACTTTTATTCTACACTTGTCAAGAACAGTGACAGGCGGGAGAAGCCGTGGGATACATACCAAGTACCTGCTATGCACCAGGCACTGTGCTAGGTCTCATGATTTCACATATATCCTGTCATCGAATCCTCACCATGATCTGGGGCAGTTTCCATTTACAAATGAACTAATGAAGGCTCAGAGAAGCTAAGTAACTCTCCCAACTACCAGCTGACAGAATGCCGGTGGAATGGTGATTTAAATCAAGTGCACCCGATTTTTTTTTTTGAAAATTTTTGTTTTTGTTTTTGTTTTGTGGTACACGGGCCTCTCACTGTTGTGGCCTCTCCCGTTGCGGAGCACAGGCTCCGGACGCGCAGGCTCAGCGGCCATGGCTCATGGGCGCAGCCACTCCGCGGCACGTGGGATCCCCCCCCAGACCGGGGTGCGAACCCGTGTCCCCTGCATCAGCAGGCGGACTCCCAACCACTGCGTCACCAGGGAAGCCCCCAAGTGCACCTAATTTTGAAAGCCACGGCTGGCCTCTTAGACCAGAGGGTGGGTCGGGGAGCTTCCATCTCTTGGGGGTTTCAAGTTTAGAATCCAGAGGGACGGACTCTGGTTACTTGAGGCTGTTGTGTTGGGAACCCAGGGAGTTCCCTGGATGCTGGGCCCCTCGGGGTCAACTTGCAGACATCTGAGGCCAGCAGACAGAACCAGCTGGCCAGCCGGGTGGTACCATCATGGCCTGTCCTTGCTCTGTGCTCTGGCTATTGGCTGAGGAGGGCGGAAGACAGAGCTAAGCTCTATTACGGAGAAAGGAGGCACAAGAAGGCACAGAGGGCGAGGGGCCCTGTGTGTAAAAGGTGCGCATTAAATGTGGGATAAAGGAAAGAGTAGCTACAGAGCTAGTTACACAACTGATTTTGGTTATCTGTCTGGTAAACTATTCTAAAGGCAATTTCTCCCCCACCCCATACTATACACAAAAACCAATACTTGGTAGATACTAAGATTTAAATGTGAAAATTTAAATAATACAGCTTTTAAAGAAAATACAGGAGAATATCTTCAGAGCCTGGGGGGTAGGTAAAGATTTCTTAAATGAGACACACAAAAAGATTCTAATTATAAAGGGGAAAAAAGGTGTAACAACAGTAGTTGTAAAAAAAAAGGATATTCTAAAACTGTTTTGAAGTTGTTGCATTTTTTGAATATGTGCCTGGTCTTCCAAAAGGCTGACTTTAAAGAGTAACTTTCACTTGGATGCAAAATTTCTTGTATATTTGTTTTTGAAAAACAGTTATTTTCTAGTTACACATCACATTTAATATTTGAAATGTAAAATATTTTAAAGAAAACTTTCAATAAAGGAAAAACAGGACTATAATGCTGGCTGAAGCTCACTACCATGATGAAAATTGAGAACGTTTGACTTAATGGGAAGAATTTCAACTTTCTAACTGAAAAATCAGAATAAGAGCCTGGTGCTTTTGTATTTGGTCATCATTCACAAAAAAAAATCTTGTCTCTTTGTGTTTTTCAAAATAGCTATTTTAAAGTAACATGTTGACAGAAGAGTAAAATCCTCCAGTTCCAAAGCATTTTAAGGATCGTATGCTGCTCCTAACCTCTGAGCTACAGGTCAGGCTCTTAGTGCTGCTGAAATGGAAGCTCGATACAAAAGAAACACTATTTGCAGCAGAAGTACCTTCCCCTGGATGCTCAAGGCCCACACCCCCTGCCACCAGACAAGTGGGCTTCAGGTCTCCAAAAATGGCATTTTACTTTCAAAAGAGTTTGTCTTCTCTCAATGACCTTAATGAAGCTCACAGTACCCTTCCTAATTTGTTACAGGAAAATTAAGAAGATTTTTGACCAAGATAAGAACTGTGACATTATACTATGGCACAGTTTCATGTGATTGCTTATATCACACAATCAGAGTTGGAACTGTCCTGCCATGGATGTTTACAAGCTTTAAATGGCACTGATAAAGCATTAATGGTTGCGGTCATTTCTATTTAAAAATGTGGCTGTCAAACCCTTAATCAGAAGCTTAATCTACCAGAATACCACTATTTCCATTAGAAAACTAAACACACCCCACCTCTAGTTAAAGCCAGGGAAGTCACACACACTGTAAATGGAAGAGCTGCTTATAGGTCACCAACACTACATTCTCTAATTCAAGAGACTGACTAATAAAATTATACAAGCTGCCAGTAAGTTTGCTTGGACAACTGAAATTTAAAAAAAAAAAAAAACTGCTTCTGTCTCCCTTAGTGAAGATGTATGTCTGAGCTTAATATAAATTTTTAAAATACGCCATTCACATTTTAGAACTCTTTCTGAAATACAATAATTAATGAAAATAAAATTCCAAATTAAGACTTTTATTTCGAGTACATTCAGTAAATTAACATGTATTTCAAACGAGAGAAAATCCCTTTAAATCCTTAAACACTTTGAACCAACTACAATTTAAAAAAAATGAACCAAATATTGAAACAAGGAAAGTAAAACAGGTATCTTCATTTTTTTACCTACCATCAGACATGCTTTTTAAGATGTAGAGGAAACACATCAGCAGGCTCTTAATCTCAGACTGGTCAAGTTTGTCACAGCGAACGACAGAATTTCCCAAGGTGCCACTTTGCTGGTGCTAAAGAAGGAAACAGAGGTGATTTTTCTCCTTCGTTACAGGTAAAACAAAATTAGGTTCACTTTTCTCCCTTGGAAGAGAAAGAGTCTTAGAATTGAGTCAAATCATACAAATTGGAAGGTATAAATGATTTGTCAACGAACTACAAGCACACCATCACCAAATACACGCAAGTGTTAATCCATGGAAGCTCTGTCTTGTCTCCTTGGCACACTCTCCCAGGACAAGCCAGAACGCACGGACCTTTCAAACTGAAAAACCAGTCGTAGTTACTGGCTTAGTGCCGAAGTGCCAAGCAAAACTTCATGCAAAAAACTCTGTGTGCTAAGATCAAACAGAAATGATGATTCAGAAGACAGTGCCAAACCAAGCATATCCTCAGGAAAACGTCAGTGGCTGAAAACGGCAAATTAAGTCCAAGGGGCTGCTATGGACCAGCCACTAAAGCCTGGAGCTGAGTTACTGTTATTCCGTTACATCCTGCGGCAGCCTTGGGGGAAAACCACAGGCAGGTGCCCGATAGGGACAAACAGGGACACCTCAGTGCAGCAGGACCAAAGCCCCTAAACTGATGAGATCACGCCATCATCAGCCTAGCTCAACACTGCAAACTTCAGAAAGCTCAGGGCACAGGGTGAGGGCAGCTTTGCCACTAGACAGCAGGTTCACACCATGTTCAAAGCATTCACTTAAAGAAAAAAGAAATCTCATCTCATTTAAAAAACACAAGAAATTTAAAAATCTTGAAAGTTATATTTCCCATTGAAATCTGGAAAAATTTTTTGCCAAATACCAAGGCAGAAAAGATCAGTGAAAAAATAGCTTTCAATCAAGGTACTGGTGGCCAATGGAAAAGATATATACTAATCAGGTTTAACTAATAACATACACGAGTATTTTTATTATAGGAAGAGACACACTGCAATTAGCGGCAAAGCCATGGTGCAGGCGCACCTCCCGCCCGCCCACTTCATCAGCGCCGCTGGGAGAGCCCAGGCCTCCCTGCAGCGGGGGCAGGGGCGCCGCCTGTGGGGCCTCTTCTGGCAGAGGCAGCAGCGTGAGCAGCGAGAAGTCCATGGTGACCCGGTGTCTCCTGGCTGACCGGCCGCTCTCCTCCTCTCCAGCTCCGCGTACGACACAAGCCGAGTGCCTTCTGAGCAGCTTCTCCCGCTACGCACGAAGGCATGTCAGGGTCAAGGGAAAAGTTCGATAGGTCACGACACCTGCGCGGAGATGCTCGGACGGCTACAGAACCGCAGCTGAGGGTCATCACGGCGAGGTCGGCCACACAACCGCGGTTAAGGTTACGAACCTGACCCCGAGGAAGGGCGGCTTCCACGTTTCTGAGAACTAGGAATACATCCCTAAGAGAATCACTTGTTTATTGGTACATAAACCTATAACTTTTAACCTATACATAACTTGCCTATAACTTGAAATAACTTAGGAAAACAGTGGCCGAGGTGAGACTAATCTATCATGGCTCCAGGTTTAAATCCAAGCTTTATCCATTTGCACAAAATTCCAAACTTAGGTATTTCAAGAAAAAAAAAAAAAAAACAGTTCAATATGAGGAGGATGTGTTGGGGGCACAGTATGAATAGAGTGATTTCAAATAAAGCCTTATCCCTGCATCATCTGTATGACTGATTAATCTTTTCTGGAGCCAGCTTCGGATCCAACGGCCATTCGCATGGATAACTGTGTTATAATTGGTGTTCCCTGGCACACAGACCGTGGGGATTCTAAGCAAGTGGCATTCTGATTTCCCTACCTGTTTAAACTGCCAGAACCATTGGCTCTAAGTGCTCCACTGTAAACACTGCCCTGATGAAATCCTAGAACAGGAACCAGGGGGTTTCAGGGAATGGGCTCCATCCTTAGATCATACTCTGAGATCATCTACCCCAGGTTAACTGAGTTGTTTAAGGAAAAAAAAAAAAAAGGTCATACTTACTGAACACTAGAACAGGAAGCATGTTTACTTTGGGCTAAATCCATTAGTTATAAGAAACACTTAAGTTACATTAAAAGAAATTACCTTATCCAGGGAATTGCTCTTCTCACTATTCCTTTCTGGAAGGCTGTTCCCGGAATCTGTGCTTATGAGGGATCCTCTTGAATCAGCATTTCTCACACTACTGATGTTTGGAGTTGAGTTTGTATATGGAGAAGCTAAACAGAAGTCAAGCCAAGACCAAAGATTTGGTGAGACAGAACAAAATAAAAATAAGTACTGAACTTTAATAAGGGAAACTGCTTTTATGGCACTTATTTTTCCTGTGAGAAAGATGGCTCAAGAGTTTCATTCAATTACCTCTCCTTTAAAGAACCAGGCCATTTAGCTTGAGATACAAATAACCGTTAATCTGAAACATTCAGACATAACTATCAATTCACTTATGAGAAACCACCTTGGATTGCTCAGACTAAAGGAGAACATGCTGGTTCAGACTGGGGTAGAATAAAGACTTCAAAAAATTAAAAAGATAAATCCACCCACAACTATCAAATAAAAAAAAGCTAAACCATGAAATAAACCCGCAGTACTCAAACGGCGGGCTGAGATACCCCAGAAAACTCTGAGGGGTGTCATGGGACATTTTAAAGTTTCAAGGAAAACACAGTGATACTTGACATCTGCCAGAAAGTGTAGTTTCAACCTCTGACTGTGCTACATTCCTTTCCGTGATGTCATATCTCTGTGAAGTGGGGTATTTGGTGGTCGCTATGATAAAAAGCAAGTACTGGGTGAAAATCAGTGTGGAACAGGAAATGAGAATGTTGGTGAGCGATCTGATTCCAAATTTGAGAAGCCATGTAGTGCCCAACAGGCACACACAACCCATTAGTAAGAATCGTGGTTAGTAAAAATAAAATTTTTTTTCTTTATGTATGTATATAGTTTTCAAATGCCTACTAAGTTGTTAGGTTATAAGTACTTATTATTTGGCCCTAAGTACCTAATAAATAGAACCATTAGGTGTTCTTTTGGCCTGGGGACTCCATGAAAAATTACTTTGATTAATAAGGGTGCTGTGAATTGAGAATGTTTGGGAATCTCTGCAATAAACAGCTACAAGCAGAAAGGAAATCTAACTTGGAAATTAAATTTGTGACATCTGTTGAAAAAAACAGAATCTTAAGGGAGAAGTCAGCCCCTACCTCAATACTGTGGAATTTTTTTTTTTTTTTTTTTTTTTTTTTTTTTT